AATAATAATATGCTAATATTGGTTTCTTAGTTTTGACAAATGTACCACAACAATGTAAGATGTTAACCTTAGGGATATACAGGAACTCTCTGTACTGTTTTTGCAACTTTTCTGTAAATTTAAAACTATTCCAAAATTAAAAGTTTATTTAAAACTCTATTACACCAATTTATAGTCCCACTAAGAGGGCATAGAAGTGTTAGTCTTACCACGACCTTGCCAACAGCAAGTATTTTTAAAAATTCAGTCCTTCAGCAAATATTTCTTAAGTGCCGTCTCTGTGCCAGGCACTATCCTAGGTACTTGGGATCCGTCGTTAAACAAAGCAGACATAGATTGATGCCCTCATGGTGTTGACATTGCAAAGAAAGACAGATACTTTAGTACGTTAGAAGTAACAAGCGCTTTGAACAACAAGGATTTACTGTATAGCACAAGGAACTATATTCAATAGCTTTTAATAAACTATAATGGAAAAGAACTGAAAAAATGATATAGATCTATACATATATAACCGAGTCACTTTGCTGTACACCTGAAACTAACACAATATTGTAAATCAACTATACTTCAATTGAAAAGAAAAGAAGTAGGAACTTCCGTGGTGGCGCAGTGGTTAAGAATCCACCTGCCAATGCAGGGGACACAGGTTCGAGCCCTGGTCTGGGAAGATCTCACATGTCACAGAGCAACTAAGTCTGTGCGCCACAAATACTGAGCCCGTGTGCCACAAATGCTGAACCCCGCACAAATGCTCTGCAACAAGAGAAGCCACCGCAATGAGAAGCCCACACACTGCAACTAAAAGTAGCCCCTGCTCGCCACAACTAGAGAAAGCCTGTGCGCAGCAAGGAAGACCCAACGCAGCCAAAAATAAAGAAATTTAAAGAAAAAAAAAAGAAGTAATAAGTACTTTGGAAAAATCAGAATAAGGGACAGCACGGGTGAAGGAGAGGAATAAAACGTGGGTTACGATTTTCAGTAGGGTGATCAGGAGAGGCTTCATTGAGGAGGAGACATCCCAGCAATGACTTGAAGGAGGTGAAGAGGTAAGCCATGTGGATATCTGGAGAAAAGGTTTGAGAGATAAGGTGGAAGGACAGATCGTGTATGGCCTTGTTGGGGTCACACAAGATGTGGCAGAGACCACTAAATGCTCACCCCAAACCCCAATTACTCGGCTACATTCCCCAGCCCCTTGCAGCTAGACAGGTCTATATGAACAGTTTGGACCAATGAAATGTGAGAGGAGGTGTAGTGTGTCACTTCCAGGCTCACAGGCGACAAAAATCCCACATGTGATTTTCTGGTCTTTCTTTCCCTCATCGGTATCTGTGGTCCAGAGAGTGCAGCTACAAGATGGTAGAGCCTCCATCAGCCTGGGTCACTACTGAGTGGCTACATGGAGCAGAACTTCCCCCTACTATCCTATGTGTGACAAGTGTCATGAGCTGAGTCACCAGCTGGTGGCACCCTAGAAAGACAGCCAGGCACTGTCTGGCACTGAGACTTACTATCTTCAGCTACTGAGATTTGGGGGGTGGTCATCACCGCAGCACAACTTAGCCCATCTGGCCTGATACAGAAGGACTTGGCTTTGACTCTGTGTTAACCGAATCCATTGTTCGTTTGAAAACTACAAGCGTCAGTGTTTAGGTTTCATTTTTTGATAATTACTGAAATAGCAGATTACATTTTCTAAGATGGCCATGACAAACTCTCCCAGCCCCCATGCTCTCCTTATCATGGCATCGGCACTCCTCCCATTGAGAGTTGGCATCTATGTTCCCTTCCCTTGAATCTGGGCAGGCCTAGAACTACACTGAAAGTGAGGCTCTGGGACCTCTAAAGGTAGTCACAAATGATATGGCTTCTGCCCAGTCCTGTTGGAACATTTGTTCTTGGTAGCCTACTGCCATGCTGTGAGGAAGCTAAGGTGACACAGAGGAGTCAAGTGTAGGTTCCAGTTGACGTTCCCAGCTGAGGTCCTAGCTGACAACTAAACATGTGAGGAAGCCTTTGGGAAGACTCCAGCCATTGTCTGTCTGCAACCCCATGAGTGACCCTAAGACAGAACTGCTTGGCTGAGCTCAGGCAAGCCCAGAACCATAATGATAATGATGATGGTGATGAAGGTGATGATGGTGATGATGGTGATGATGGTGATGATGTTTTAAGCCACTATGTTTTTTGTTGTTTTTTTATAAATTTATTTATTTTATTTATTTTTGGCTGCGTTGGGTCTTTTTTGTCTGGGCTTTCTCTAGTTGCAGCGAGCGGGGGCTACTCTTCGTTGCGGTGCGCTGGCTTCTCATTGCAGTGGCTTCTCTTGTTGCAGAGCACGGGCTCTAGGCACATGGGCTTCAGCAGTTGTGGCATGCAGGCTCACTAGTTGTGGCTCACGGGCTCTAGAGCACAGGCTCAGTAGTTGTGGCACACAGGCTTAGTTGCTCTGTGGCATGTGGGATCTTCCCGGACCAGGGCGCAAACCCATGTCCCCTGCATTGGCAGGCGGATTCTTAACCACTGCGCCATCAGGAAGTCCCCTAAGCCACTAAGTTGTAGGGTGGTTTGTTACATAGCAATAGATAACTGGAAGAGTGAGGCTGAATATTTTCACTATTCTTACCTAATATGTTGAAGTCTTTTTACACCAACATGCCACTCCTTACCAAGCCTGGCTTTTCTCTTTCCAGATAAATATGTGAAAAAGGGTGAGACAATGGATGGAACTACCAGAGATGTCCCTCAAAATGGACTCAGAACAAAAATGTTCTGGGAATAGCTGTTCAGTTAACACACGTAGGTATTCAATAAATAATTGTTAAGTGAATGAATGATCCTATCCATGGGGGGTGGGGAGATGGGAGATGTTGGTCAAAGGGTACAGACCTCTAGTTATAAGAGGAATAAATTCTGGGATCTAATGTACAGCATGGTGACTACAGTTAACAATACTGTATTCTGTACTTGAAAGTTGCTAGGAGAGTAGATCTTAAATGTTCTCACCACACACACACACACACACACACACACACACACACACACACGATAATTATGTGAGGTTTATGGAGGTGTTAACTAACCCTGTTGTGGTAATCATTTTGCAATACATACATGTATCAAATCATCACATTGTACACCTTAAATTTATACAATGTTATATGTCAATTATATCTTAATAAAGACAGAAAAATAATAATAATGCTGTCCAAACTAACACATTGTAAAACTATACCCCAATAAAAATAAATAAATAAAATAAAATATTAATGCTGTCCACATTTCTGCATCTTGTTTAAATATATTATAATCAACCTAATTAAATGCTTTCATGAAATTCAGATGCATTATACAACATTCCCCAGAAATACCAATCTATTAAATAATTTTATTATAAAAGGCTTACAGCAAAGTTTTACTTTTTTCTTCTCTTCAGTTTCCTTTTCATTAAACAAATAAAATAATGTATATTGTATCTCAATGTAAAAGACTCAAGTAATAAGATATGAAGGTAAGCTAAAACATATCTGCTACCTATTTTCCCCAGAGGAAAGGTTTATTGATAGTTTGGTATGGATCCCTCCAGACCTTCTTTATATATATTATTTGCATTTATGTATATGAACTTTTTGTGGCAGAATGTATTTTCCAAAAATGGCCGTGACACCATTTCCCATCCCACATGCTCTTCCAAAACGTTACCACACTCCCTCAGGTGGGGGCTCTGTCCTCTACCCCGCAGCCTGGGCAGGCCTCTGGGCCTGTCTCACTAAGGTGTGACAAAAGTGGTGCTAGGTGACACCCAAGTCTTGTCATAAGAAGCAATATTGATTCCCCTTGGCTGTCTGTGTTAGGACACATACTTCTAGAGCCGTAAGCCACATTGTAAGAAGTCTGGCTACTCTGAAGCCCCCATGCTGGAGAGACCACAAAGATAGACTACAGAGGGAATAGATCATAGCTTTTCCGGACCCCTGCTTGAGTGTTCCCACCCTGCTTGAGTGTTCCCACCCCATGTGCCAGACATGTGAGGAAGCTTTCACCTTAACCCCTATCAGAGTGTGACAGTGTGAGACCCTGAATGAAAAAGCCACTAACCATTAGATAATTGATTAATATACATATACCTATGTATATTATGCTTACTTGCATAAATGACCTACTATTATATAGATTGCTCTGAGACTTGCTTTTTTCACTGAGCAATTTCTGAGACTGATGTGTGTCAGTGGGCTCAGATCCACTCCATGTTTTGTAAGGCTGTGCAGCATTCCATAGCATAGATATTCCATAACAGGGCATAGAAGATTTTCAAACATCTTTTAGCTGGGGCCTGCCTCTTCAAAAGAAAAGTATTCTTGGAAGCCCACTGTTTAAAACAAGTGAAACAAGCCGCTGGGGCCCAGACAGAGCCTCTCCTCACTACACTCCATGGAGGGGGGGACCCGTCCTTGAAAGAACTCCTAGCTTTTGATGACACATTTAAAAATCACTCACCTTGGGACTTCCCTGGCAGTCCAGGGGTTAAGACTCCACCCTTCCACTTCAGGGGGCACTGGTTCGATCCCTGGTGGGGGAATTAAGATCCCACAAGCTGCCCTTGCATGGCCAAAAAAAAAAAAATTCACTCACCTCATAGAGGGTCCAACAGTAGGTCACAGCAGTGCTCCTTGTCTGTTTTTTATTCTCTTTCTCTTTTTTTAAGGTATAATTGGCATATAACATTATATTAGGTTCAGTTGTACAACATAATGATGATTCTATATTTGTATATATTGTGAAATGACCAGCACAATCCATCACCACATATAGTTCCAATTTTTTTTTTTCTTGTGATAAGCACGTCTCAGTCTTGAATGTACATTCGAATCACCTCTGAATCTTGTTAAATGCAAGTTGTGGGACTTCCCTGGTGGTCCGGTGGTTAAGACCCCATGCTCCCAATGGAGGGGGCATGGGTTCGATCCCTGGTTGGAGAACTAAGACCCCGCATGCCGCACAGCGGGGCCAAAAAAAAAAAAGGTAAAAAAAAAAAAGCAAGTTGTGATGAGTAGGTCTGGAGTGGGTCGAGATTCTCAGCAGCTCTTACCGTCTCCCAGGTGATGCCTGTGCCCACTTGAGTGGTCAGGGATTAGCAAACCCCAGCTAGCTCCTGATGACCCCTGCTTTCCTCTCTCACCTACCAAAATGGTGGTGGGGGTTATCTTTCCCTCCTCCTTATTATTATTAATTAATTTATTTATTTTGGCGGTGAGGCATGTGGGGTCTTAGTTCCCCGACCAGGGATCGAACCTGCGCCCCCTGCAGTGGGAGCGCAGAGTCTTAACCACTGGACCACCAAGGAAGTCCTTCCCTAAAGATTAGAAGCTCCTATTTTCACCTCCAGTCTTTGGCTCCCCTTCTATTCTCCAGAACTCCAGAATTCCTCACAGATCGGGGGCCATGCCACCACAACCATCTGTGCAAATTCCCTCTGCGCTGCTGCGCTGCTGAACTTCACGGGGTGGAAACAGGAAGTTGCTGAACGAATGGGCTGTAGACTTGATTCTCACCTTTCCAGAACTTCAGTTCTCTCATTTCCACTTTAAATATCTGTTTTAGGAGAGAAACGGGTAGAAAACTGGAGTTGGGAATTGTGTTCCCTCTGTCATCTGTCACCATTACTCAGCCTGCTCCAGCAGAGGACCCTTTTTTGGCCCTTTCTCAACACTTTTGCTCCAGACATGACCTTCCCCCACCCCCTGCCATGAGAGAAAGAGAGAAACCTCTAAGATGGTCCACAAACCTCCACCAGGCTTTGAGCATCCTGGTACTATACCAACAGATTTGCATCACTCTGGAATCTGGCCTTGGCTACATGTGACCCTCTCCTTCTGTAGGGGATGGAAGGAGAAGGCCTTGTAGCAAGGCACCATACATATGTTATTTACATTAACTACTGTAATCTCTGCAGTACTTTATGAGTATCACCCTCACGTTATCACTGAGGAAATTGAGGCTCAGAAAGGGTCAGTGACTCACCTAAGGTCACACCGCTAGAAATGACTGAGCTGGGATTGGATCTCAGACCTGCCTGACTCAGCATTTTCCCCAGGCTTTCTCTAAACCTGAGCAATTCTGAGGTCCGTGTGTGACCATGCTGGGTCTCTGAGTGCCCTTTTCTCCCTCATTGGCACTTTCAGTCCTGAATTCATGAGGATACAGTCCCAACTACGCCCTGGGGTCTCCCCTCCGTGTGGAGTCCTGGGCCGCTCCAGCGTTCCTGTAACCACGTAGTCGGGGTTCTCTTATTTGGCAACAGTGAAACCATTTTGTCCCTGACCTGACTGGGCACACACAGGCCTGGGTTGGAATCCCACAGCCACCTGTTGTATGAATACAAACACGTTCCTTAACCTCTCTGAGCTTCAGTTTCGTCATGTGTAACATGAGGATGATAACTCTATGTCAGATGGGCTATTGGAGGATGAGAATAGTGCCTCTAATGCCTTTCAGAGTGCTTGGCATCAAGCAGGAATGAAAACAAAACAAGCTTGTACCTTTTTTATCCTCAATTTTTAAACTTTCTCATGGATCAGGACTAAGGTGGCCTCTCATTGGCCCCTGCGTCTTCGCAGCAACACAGCCCTCCAGGGGCAAGTCAGGAGTGTGTGAGATGGAGCAATTTCCCAGCTCTTACTGAGAGCAGGAGGGGGCTGAAGCACACCCCGTTCCCTGTGGAATTTGGGGGCCATGCCAGGACAGACCGCAAGCAGTTATTAACCAGTATGTGCAACATGTGTGAGTGGAGAGCGATGGGAGAACCAGAATTTGGCGAGACGCCAGCTGGCAGGCTGGCACTCCACATGGGGAGCTGGGTATGGACCACCACGGTGCCCACCCTTCGTCACTTCCCCAGCTCCCTATCACAGGTGCTCAGTAAAACTTGCTGAACGAAGATGCTCTTTGGGGATAGGGGCTGAGCCAATGGGGGAAGCGACAGAAGAATGGTGATGGCCCTGTGTCGACACTGCATGAAGGCCTGAGCTGCTTCCTGATAGACCTGTTAGAGGTGTGGTTGGGTGTGTGACAGGCCTCAAAGGAGAAACAATAGAGTCGTTCCTTTTGATGGTTACCACTGTCAAACTCCAGCCAACTTGAAAATAAATTTAAAGTAATAGAATAAAAATAATGAAATACTGTGGGGAACTTCAGCTTTGAGAACACTGAGACTTCCAGGATGAGAGAGGGATCCTGCTGCCAGGCTGCCTCTCCTCTGCAGAGCCTCTGTCTGACTGGGAGGCCAGTGCAGGTTCCAGCCAGCCTCTCCTCCCATTCCAACTCCTGCCAAGCTTCTACCCTCCGGCCTTTGCAGTTCTGCAGAAGCTCCTACCTTTTAGTGGATGGGGCAAATCCTTGACCCCTTCTATCACCCGATGAAAAATGCTTGACCTGGTCTTTTGTCCCCTACCTCCCGTCCCCACCCCCAACAGCCCTCAACAGATAGTCTGGAGCTTCCCTGGTGGCGCAGTGGTTAAGAATCCACCTACCAATGCAGGGGACACGGGTTCGAGCCCTGGTCCGGGAAGATCCTACATGCCGTGGAGCAACTAAGCCCGCATGCCACAACTACTGAGCCTGCGCTCTAGAGCCTGGGAGCCACAACTACTGAAGCCCGCGCACCTAGAGCCTATGCTCTGCAACAGGAGAAGCCACTGCAATGAGAAGCCCGCGCAACGCAACGAAGAGTAGCTTCCGCTCGTCGCAGCTAGAGAAAGCCCGTGCGCAGCAACGAAGACCCAACACAGCCAAAAATAAATAAATAAATAAATTAATTAATTAATTTTAAAAAGGAGATAGTCTGATGAGTACCTCACAGGCAAGCCCACACACACAATCATAGCATCCTGGAGAAGGACCATACACACACTCATTAACACGTGGAGTGACAAGTACACCTCTCCTCTGTAACCATCATGAGGAGGATGGGAGAGGGAGCCTTGAGCTTTGTCCACTCTGTTCCTTTACTGTCTCCTTGCTTCCCCTGCCCCCTACAAACGGTGCCAGGGCCCCCTCCTATGCCACCACACAGGTACAGCCTCTGGTTGCTTAGCAACGGCGTGCCTCTTCCCCCTACCTCAGCAACCTCCCCTTGTAGCTCTAGTAGCAGCCACAGCAGGGAGAGCCAGGCTGGACCTGCCAGGAGTTGCTGCTGCTGCTGAAAGGGAATGTGTGGGAACAAGCCCCCAAATAGGCCCAGGTGTGAAACCCAAGGTTCTTTTTTAACACACAGGTCCCACACTGACTCTCGGAAAGTCCTGCCACCCTCCCCTGTCCCTGGCTTCTGCCAGGCTGCTGGTTCCCCCTCCCACACTGGACATCTCACCCCACTGCTGTGCTTTCTCTGCCCTGGGTCTCTGGATCTTCCCCATGTGGTCTGTTCCCCTCTTGAGGCTCAAGGCCCCTTGTCCTTTGTCATCCTATAACTCCACATCCACATGTGTTTGTCTCTGGGATCTCAGTGGCTGTCTTAGGCTCTCTTTCAGCCCCTCCTGCTCAGACTAACTAACTGCCTGTCTCCCCTTCACTAACACCAATCCCCTCACTCCCCACCTCCAAAGACTGGTCACTGGGATGACCCCATGTTGCCCCAGCAACCATGACCACATCCCTTGTTACCACCTTTCCAGGAAAGGTCTGTGGTGGGAGGGGCTTCACCGAAATGGCCCCCAGGGGAATCCTGCTTTCTGCTCTCAGCCTGCTCTGGGCTTCAGTTTCAATGGAAACTGACACTGGACTTCTGGCCAACTAGAAGAAGACCAGGTCCAGAAAAGAAAGAAAGTCCTCCCTGCTGCCTTCCCTCCATCCGATCAGCTACAATGTCAGAGTCCCCAAGAGAAGCTCCTGAAGAGACTCAGCGCCTGCAGTGGGCAGGAACCTGCCCCACCCAGAACAGTGCTGCCCAGCCCCCAGCTGATAGAGTGCCCTCCCAGGGCATGGTGTCCATCCCCCTGTCTGTTTCCACCTGACCTGACCTCTTTACCTACACTCCCTGCCACCCCACCTCCCTCAATCCCTTAGGCTTGGGTTTGACAATATTACCTGTGGGTTAAGAACCAGGACTAGGGAGCAGTCAGCAAAGAGATGGCTGAGAGGAAATACTTTGAGTAAAGGGAGACCGGGTGGAGCCCAGGCACGGCAGGGTTGGAGGGATGCTGAAATGAGAGCATGAGGGAGATTTAGGGAGGGAGACCTGGATTCTCCTCTTCTAGCAGAGGAAGCCAGCAAACAGCAGATGGAACTTTCAGGCAGGAGGCTGGACTGAGTGACCTCACCCAAACCCTGTGGTCTGCTGCTTTTGCAACCTGGCGAGTCTCCCAGCTCTCCTGGGTCCCCAAGTAGGAGAGCTTTTTATAGTTCACTCCCCAACTTGGGTTTGAATAATTAAACAAGATGGACAGAAATAGTAGCCGGACAGCTAAGGCGGGTTATTTTGGGGTTTTCTGGAACACAGAGTGTTCCTGGGCGGCACCCTACCCCCGCAGGGGGTGGAGCCAGCATGAAGGCCGATGGGAGATTCCTGTGGGGGAAACCCACCCGCACCCCCCAGGGTTCCTTGGGCTGACAGGTTTGCTCTCAGCCAGAGGAGGGTCTCACCACATCTTCCTGGTCTTCAAGGAAGGAGAGGGCTCTCACTGCCTTCTGCTCATAGCTCCTCCCCTGGCAGGAAGTCCCTTCTGTTGTCTGTCAGCCCTTCTACTTCAGAGATGGTGACAGATATTGAAAATCAGATCGATAAGCAGCTTCAAGACAGGCTGAACCAGGACGAGGTGGCTACTGCTCCTCTGGCCAAGGAGCTGGAATCAGGTGATAGGAGGTCTTGTGTCCCCCTCGCCCTCCACTATAACTGTTGGAAAGCTGTGGAGGGAATGAGGGTTGGAATGGGGGATGGGAGGCAGAGCTGGGGAGACGAATTGATGGGGGGACAGACTAGGCTCCAGGGAAGAAAAGGCCAAAGATGGATTAGTGTTGGGGCTGAGAAACTCTGAAGGGGCAAGAAGCTCTCTTCTAGCTCCCTAGTGTCCTGTGTTCCTGGCAGATGACCAGCCTGGGTTTGCTGGGACAGGGTTCTAGCAGCTGGGGATGGGGAGAGGTGGGGAGGGCCCCTTCAGGTCTCCATTGCAGACCAATCATTTGAGGCTTGTTTGCATAATACTTTTGGTTCAACCACAGAGATTAGGGCCTCACCCCAACTCTACCTCGAGGCTCTACCACAGAGCTTAAAACCTGGGGCCAGAGGGGGCACTTGTAATGTTTTCTCTCTTTGGTAACAACTTCAGGGGTGGGTTTGGAGGTCAGATTTCAGGAAACACTGAAATACTCATTCATTCATGTTTATTCATTCAACACACATTTTAAAAGCACCAACTATAAGCCTTGCATTGTGTTGGTGCTGGGAATAAATTAGTATGGCAAGCTCCTTGCTCTCAAGAGACTTGAAGTTTAGTGGGGGAGATGGCCATCTTAAAACCTGCTCTCCACCATTATTGAGTGCTTACTATGCATTAGATACCATATAGGAACTTCACAAAAATTGTCCCATTTAATCCTCATAACAAATCTGTGGTCTAAGTAGCATTAGCCCCATTTGACAGTTATTAGAACCAAGATGAAGAGATTTGTCCAAAGTCACTCAGCTTGTAAACTATATAAATGGAACTGGAACCTACGTTTATGTGATTCCAAGTTCGTGCTCTTAACCACTGCCCTTGCGGTCGCTAATGCCTGGAAGGAAGATGTAAATTCATTAAACCCCGTGGGTGTTCAAAAGAGAGTGAGATTGCCTTTAGCTTCGGTATGTGCTACGCGTGGCTGGGTGGGGCAATCAGGGAAAGCCTCCTAAAAGAGGTGGCTTTGCATCGTACTCAATTCATTCTACAAATACTTAAATTGAGTATCTACTACGCCCTTGTTGGTGGTGCTGAGGATCCCGAAGTGACCGAAGTCCTTGCGCTGTGGACATGCTGGGCAGGGATAGAGGAAAGGCCGAAATTATAATTGCGCGAGTCGTAAATGCCAAGTTTCCTTTACCCTCAGAGTTGTTCTGCTCCTCCTTGGTTTCTCTCCCAGGAGCAAATACCCAAGCTTCTGGGGAATCTAAAGGAAAGGCCTGTCCGTCCTACTCTGGGAAGTCCTTCCTAACGTCTATCCTGCATTTCTTTCTGTTCCAAAAGAGTTCCCCACCTCCCATTTCATTCCTCTTTTTCAAGGCCAAATCTCACAGCACTAACCCGGCAGTCCGAGAGCGTCTGGCCCTTTAAGGCCACCTTCTTCCCCCCACGTGCCGTCTGGTTGGGCTGGCGACGCTGACGCACGCGTGACGTCAATGGCAGCTGGCGGAGTCTGGGCACGAGGAGCGAAGATGGGGTGGGGGTGGGGGGGGGCAAAAGCGAGAGGGCGGTTCATTTGCATTTAAAGGGTCCACTCCAGGGTTAGCGATCAAGGCTTTAAAGAAATGTGTATTTGGAAAACTTTCCGTCTTGCGCTATGGGGCAAGAAAAAGGCGTGGTATAGCTAAAGTCGGTGGTGACTCAAGTTTGCAATGTCAATTATGTCCTTCCGCGGGAAGGGGGAAATAGTCCGTCGGTGCCCGGGCTGGAACCACGTGACATGGAGGGGGCGGTGGGGGGTGGGGAGAGGGAAGAAGGGAGGAGCTGGGGAGACGACTGTCAGGCTTCGTTTCAGCTGCCCCCACCCCCACATCCTGCCCACCCTCCTGCAGCTGCCACCACATCCTGCCCAGCCGGGGGCAGGGAACTCGTGGGGGGGGGTGGGCACTCACCCAGGACCCAGGTTAGGCACCCCTTCCCTACCTCCTTCAGTTCCAGGGTGGGACGTCTGCCCTTTGCCCTGGGCCTGGCCCCAGGCACCCTGGCACTGAGCTTGGGGCACAGCTCTGCCAACACAGTCTTGGACACCTCTCTGCCCAACTCCGCCCCGCACCCTGCCCCCGCCCAAAGCGGGACTTGTTCGGTCCCAGATCAGAGCCCCATCCCTGGACTAGCACAGTTATCAATAGACAATTAGAAGTGTTCAATAACGTTTTTATAGTCTTAACTCAGATACACAGCTACAAACACATATACAGATTGATGAAACAGACTTTTGCTGAGCACATTCCATGCCAGGCCCTGAAAAGCCCTGAAGACTCAAAGTTGAGTTAAACTGCTGCCCTCAAGGAGTTCAAAATCTAGTGAAGGAGAGTAAATTAGAAACCAAAAATGTCAGTACAATGCAGTGTGTACCGATGAGGTAGATACACAGAGTGGAGAACACTATACAGAATCAGAGGTACAGGAAGACACACAAGTCGAAGGATCACTAGTATATTACCCATGCTGATGGCCCTTCCCCTCACAAGTGAGGTGGAAGATGGGAAAGATTGGGGGCCTTTGCTGGGATTACTGGAAAACTGGGAGGAAGAATGATCAGCCCAATGGAAACTATGACATGGATGGAGGTGAGGATGGAGATTGTCCAAATGACTGTGGAGAAGGCAAGAGGGTTAACCAAGCAGCCAGTTAGAGGCTGAAACAGTGGTAATGGCTTCCCTTATTTATGAGACAACAGTCAGGAGAGAAGCAGCCCTTGTGGATGAGGAAGACCTTTCCAAATTAAGTTGGATAGGGATGCTTGGGGAGGTGTGACTAAAGGGAGCTATTGATGTCCCTTTGCCATATAAATTGATGAAGATGATACTGTACTGAGGAGTTTACACACAGTTTTTAGGACTTTGGTGGGCATCTGTCCGACTCACAGGGGATTTTATAGCAACGTTAGTTGACTTTTCTCTAAGAAAGATTGAGTTGGTAGTCAGAGGGAGAGAAGGAAAAATGAGACCCAGCCATCTGAGCCTGCCTAGGCATTTTCCACCTAGCACATCCTGGGATGGGTAGTCCAGGGGCTAGAAGAAAAAGATGTAGTGAGTCATTTTCAGGAAGTCTTTATTATAATCTAACTTCCAGCAACACTCCCTAGATCCTTTCTTAGTTCTCCATGGAAATCAAGACCTCATGTTTGTTACTTTTCCTTTCCTATGAAGTTCTCTCTATAAATACATGTATATGTAAATTCTATTCTACTTGTAATGTCAGCCTCTCCTGCTCTTTCCTACTCTGTTTTCTAGTGGATTATCATTTCAGCATCTCAGGGTCCAGGACACTCCATCTCCCCCACTGAGCTTTTCCCTGCCCTCCTTTCTCCCCCCTGCTCTTCCTGGCCCTTTAACACCCTCCTAGGTGACTCACCTACCTTCCTTCCTCATTCCTTTATTTAGGACCCAACATTCCAAGGCAGGGAGGACCAGGTGGCCAATCACAGCCCTGGCAAACCTACCTCGGGCTTGAGATTGGCTGGAGCTGTGGTTGGCGGGAGGCTCACCACTCAGATCTGTAGGATGTTGGGGAGGGGGTTTCTGGGAATCAGCCCTGGGAAATAATTTGTTCTGGGGCTGCTAATGGTTTTGAAGAGAATCCTTCCAATAGAGCTGGGGCCAGAGGGTCTCTAGCTTGAAAGCCTCAAAACTGGAGGCAGGCTGAGAACCCAGCTTTCTCAGTGTCCTGGGGGCTTGGCTGCCCCCCTGCCCACTTTTTTTTCCTGTGATCTGAGACCCAGTGGTCTGAAGGCTGTGTTCCCAGGCCTGTTCCTAAGAAGTCTTTTCCAGCAGCCCTGGATCTCTCCAGTCTCAACATTCTGCTTTCCCGACATCGGAAACAGCCGGAAAATAAACACCCTGATGACTAAACGGTTTCTCCAGCTAGAGCCTGGGGAAGCACTAAAAATAGAGGCCACAAGTGAGGGGAGGTTCCCCACTTGAGGGGGGGGGCACTTTCCCATCCTGCTATTGCCACAGCCCCAGGCCTGGCACAAGGCTCTGTTCTTCTCTGAGTCCTTGGGGACAGGGCAGATGGGCTCCCCCTGCCTACACTGAGGTCCTTCAGGCAAGCTAGCCCTGCCTGGTAGGGAAGACTGACATCTTCTGGTGCTGGGGCCCCATCTCTCAAATCTAATGGGGAACTAAGAAGCTATGATTGGGGACAAAGTGGAACACTTTAAATCAGGTTTCCTGAAGGAAAGGCCAAGTGGAAGAGTTGGAAACTGAGGCCAAGGAAATAGGAGCTTGCTGGCTTCCTGTCTTAAAGCATACAAGATAAGCCTCCAATCTATTTGCAAAGCAATTCCACTGAACTTGCCTCCACTAATGCTTGTATGAGATAATGGGCCTAAAGGGGGTTTTGACAGTCCAGCCCTTGAATTATTATAATGCAGCATGAGGTACTGTTCAAAGCAATCTACTTGTATGAACTAATTTAATCTTCACACCAATTTATGAGTTAGGTACTATTATCAAAATCTCTATTTTACCCATGAGGATCATGAGGTACAGGGAAGTTAAGTAACGTGCCTCTGTTCCCAGTTAATAAATGGTGGAATAAGGATTTGAACCAAGGTAGCTTGACTACTCCAAAGTTGATGCCTCTTATCACCATAACATGCTGCCTCTTTCGGGATATATTCGTCTCTTCAGCCCTTAACCTAGAATTGAGTCTTTGTCCAGTAAATCAGACCCAGCCAGATAGAAATCAGGGTGTGTGAAGAACTGAGTGCCCTTCTGTTCTCCAATGTTCTTTGAGATCTAAGCCAGATTCCATCATTTCCTCAAGCTCAAGGTAGGAAGCAGACGTTGGAGTAACAGGGATGCTGGGAGAGGAAGTCTGATGGGTCAGTTGTCCAGTAGGCATGGCACCCACACTCCTGTTGCAGGGCACGAGAAGATTCACCACACCCTGGAGCAAACAGGAATTTAAAACTTTTTAAAACAGCTACTACTGCTTCTTTAATAAGATGCTTTGGGGCGTTTCCTGTGCTGGGGGAAATTAGGGTCACACCCCTTTAAATTGCCCCCCTCGGCTGTAAGTGTTCTGGGGCCGCAGGCATTGGGGATTAGGTCACCCACGAACTATGAGCTGTCGCTTTAAATTGATGGGCGTCTGCCGAGCCGG